GGAGTCCGAAGTGGAGTCCAAGATGGACCCGAGTTGGAGTCCGAAGTGGAGTCCGAGATGGAGTCCGAAGTGGAGTCCGAGGTGGACCCGAGATGGAGTCCGAGGTGGAGTCCGAGATGGACCCGAGATGGAGTCCGAGATGGAGTCCGAGATGGAGTCCGAGGTGGACCCGAGATGGACCCGAAATGGAGTCCGAGATGGAGTCCGAGATGGAGTCCGAGATGGAGTCCGAGATGGACCCGAGATGGACCCGAGATGGAGTCCGAGATGGAGTCCGAGATGGAGTCCGAGATGGAGTCCGAGATGGAGTCCGAGATGGAGTCCGAAGTCGAGACCGAGACCGAGCCCGAGCCCGAGTCCGAGTCCGAATCCGAGTCCGAGTCCGAGTCTGAGTCCGAGTCCGAGTCCGAGTCCGGAGCCTGAGAGGGTGAAAGCCCAAAGCGTTCGTCTCCCAGACCCTGGGGGGTTTGGTGAGCTCCAAAAGTATAGTAGGGGGAGGACTGCAGTGGAGCCAGTTTGGCCAGGAAAGGCCAGTTTGGCCCAGGAAGGCCAGACCCAGTGTTGGGTGATGAACTGACCACTGGGAAGTCCAAGACTAGAGTGAATACGGACCGACAAGCGGGGTAGCTTGGTGAAGTGTTCAAGAGCCGGCTCTAGTTCCCCCGGGAGATCGACTGGCCGATGCTCCCAGTCCAAGTGTGGGTGGCACTACCTACTTGGATACCAGGCGTGGCTCAACGGAACCTCGCTCTAAGCCCATGGCTAGAGCACCTAAAGGCGAAAGGTGGGGAGAGTACCCAGGTGGCTCGCGTAAGGCCACGGTGTTCCGAAATGTTGTCCCAAAGGCCCAGACTGTGGAAAGGAAGAGGAGCAGTCCTCTGGGGTAGTGACCAAGGACACAGTCGTGTGGTGAGGAAGTCCCAGAGGACCGTGGGACTTAGTGGTCGGGCCTGTGGGCCTCGATCCAGTGGCAGTGTTGGCAAACACGGCCAGGGGCAGAAAGGGACTTGGTAGGAACTGACAAAGGGACTTTGGGGAAGGCGATTCCCCAGGTCTGTGGGCATCCTAAGGATGCTAAGGAGTGGATCCAGGATGACCCCTTGTAGACAGATGGCCCAGTCTTGGAGAGACGGGATGGTGATGCAAGTGGTATTGGACCATTTGCGCAGCAAAGGTGAATGGGCATGGCCTTAGCGTAACGAGCCGAGATGTCAGTGGTACCTTTGGGTGTCGGTCATGGGATCGGACACGTGGAGCACTTGGACCAAGTGCAAAGGTTGAGTGGCATGGATGCCATTCTCGGGGCTAGCAAGCCCCAAGTCCTGAATGGGACTTATGGAGGTTGTGAATGAGATTCCTCCAAGTGGTCGGAGGTGTGGTTAAGTGACTAAAGTAGAATGGAAAAATTAGTCGCTTACACTCTATTAGTTAAGTAAAGGAATCACATTATATGTTAAGATTGACATTTAGCAGGTTTAATTTGCCTTTGGTTAGGGTAGGGTGTCAAAAGAGTAGAGCTCTCGACTTTCATTCATGAGGGAGTGAACTTATAAAAAAGTGTGGTGAATTGTAAACAATCAAAAGGAACAATGTAAAGAAAAGGTGTCGTAGGCTAAATGATCTCTGAAACCATGACCAGAATGATAAAGAGTTCATCGGATGAGACCGTGTTCGAGATCAAGTCCGAGATGGAGTCTGAGATTGAGTCTAAATATTAATATAGGTTATGGGGTGAAAGCCCAAAGTGATCATCCCATAAGGGGGGGGGGGGGGGGGGGGCGGGGCCCGGGGGAGGGCTGCAAAGGGTTCCAAAAGTTTTAAAAAAAAAAAATTCCCAAGTTCATAAGATCCCTCCCAAGATGGAAAGGGGGGGATAAAGTTTTGGAAACTGGAGGAGCAAGGGCCAGGATTATTACCCTGGGCAAGAAGCACATGATCTTTCCAAAGGGAGAACTTGGGAGAGTCCTTTCCCCCCCCCCCCCAAAAAATCTTTGGCAATATTGACAGTATTGCCATGAATTTCATTCATTCCTGGAGGTATAACCTATAAGTTCGAGAACAAAGAAAGAAGCACATATCAGAAAAATGGAGTTACCACCATGGGAGGTGCCATAGGAATTCAATCCCTTCTTTGCTCTCCATGGTGATCATGTTGGATGAAAGCTCTCATGAGAGAGTTCTAGTGTTCCACTCCTCCATGGTCTGGAACATCAAACAAGCATTTCTGCTGCATAGAACTACGTCCAAGTTGCAAGAGAAATAGGTGTGGATCTTCTTTCTTCCAGGTTCTTGACATGCTTCAAAAATTATCACAAGAGTACTCATTGTATAACTTATTGTTACATGGTTTAAATAGAAGGCCTTCTTAGATTAGGGTTTTGAAGCTGTGGTGGCAGCTGGTGGCATCAAGATATTTTACAGTTGCAAAATCGAGTTTGAACTCATTTATAGGGATCAGAGACATGACTCATGAGACATGTGATACCCAATCTTTGGACTGTGGTGTTGACTCCCTTGAACAAGGTGTTGCAACGTTGAATACAGGGTTGGAAAAAATTCTCTATCTTGGATACTAAAATAGGTATTTTCAAATATATTCAAGAATTGTTCTTTCCTAATTTCATTAAGTTTTAGATCTAATACATTAATTTTATGCTTTTTGGATGGTTATGATTTTCTTAACAACAATAGTGATAAAATCACAATATACAAAGTGGCAGTGATATTAGGGATTGCAACATACCTTTTGATCAACTCCAGCTTCTAAAGAATGTCAAGGCCAAGACAAGTTTCATGGATTTTCAGGATTCAAATTCTACTGCTATTAGGGTGATACTGTTTGCAGATTAAAACTGGAAAGAAAAACTTCTAGGGTATGACTTCATACATTTCTCAGAAGTTTCCAGTTTATGGCATAATTATGTATGTTTGTTTGCCTTTTACAAGTTTGAACTTTAGGAATTCAAGGAGCCAAAATTTTAGTTCTCTAAATTATATCCTAATAAAGTGAAAATTTATAAACAAGTAACCAAAATTTACCTTTACATAATTTTTTCTTTTGACATTGAAAGTTCGATCCGTTGCTGATTCAAGCTTGCACCTACAACAACTAAAAAACCATCCCAAGCAATGGAGGTTGGTGAGAAAGATTTTATGGAGCATCCCATGCAGTATTTTAGCTCTAGATAGTGTGCTTTTTACAGTTTTTTTAAAGTGATTCATCTTTGTAATAAATTTCAAAATGAGTCAATTATTAATTTCTCCACATGAAAAATTTAAAAGTAATTATGTAAAATTATAAACTATATTTAGATGATAAATTATGATTAAATGAGACCAAATATGACAAATTATAATTATTGAATGTCAAATTATATTTGGAAGGATGATAAATTATATTGAAAAACACTTCACGGTTTAAGGTTTTTAACTGCACTTTTGATCCTAGAGTTGGGAGAGCATTGGAGGAGGAAACAAGTTTAACACAATTCCTATAGTCACAAGTGAGGAGAATCCAAACCAGGTACTTAGAGAGTGATAATTCTTTTGCAAGGGTTTGGATTTACTCTTGTAGGAAGTCACTTGGAATAATTGCTCATGTTTGCTTGCATCCAAATTGTAAGTAAAAAGTTTATCTTCACATCAACAATCATCGAGCTAAATGCCACAGTATGCCACCAATATCATCATTGTTGAAAGGGGCAAAACATAAAGTTCTTACTATGGTATTTATGAGAGATAAAAGCCCACTTGTCTCCATTGATTGCAAAGAGAACTAGAAGTGATGTAGTGACTTACTTGAAAAACCAATTTGATTGCAAAGTGTAAATCTAAATTTACTATTTCATATATAAATGAAAGTTGGTTGAGAAAGATCAAAAAAGTTTTTGGTAGAGTATATCAATATAAGCATCAAGCTTGATCAAGAATGATGGGATAACAAGTATCCACATCCAAACTCAAGTACATAATATAATTTTAACTTTTAAGTTTATCTTTTTTTTTTACAGATGATCCTCCTACTAAAGAGAAGATAAAAATCATGTATGACTTCTTTCATGTAGAAACACTACAAGATTCATTACTAACCTCACAACTTTATGAGGATACTAGTGAATCAGTAGATGTGAAAAAGGGCCTAACCACTACTAATGTAGATCATGACAACTTTGTCAAATAAAGAATTTCAAGCATCTGGATATACTAAGGAGGAGTATGTCACTCAAGAAAGTACTCTTACTATTACATCTAACTGTCTATATCAAAGCAAATGTCCTAAGATAAAGAAGAAAGTATACCCCTTAAAATCTCTTAAATATATGTCATTGCTAATTGGTTTGTATTTAGTAGTCTCAAATATATTGGATTGGTCTTTTTCCCCATAGTTGTATATATATGTATATATACACATGCATACATACATATATATAGTCACAATTTATAGTCTATGGTTATAGTTTATCATAGTTTTTATATATTTTAAAATTAAAAGGTATAAATTATTTTTAAGCTATATCTTTGTTATACATATAAAAAATTACCATATAACAACTAGAAATAAATCAAATTACATTTTATAATTTCTCCTATTGCAAGGTCTTCATAAAACCTTTAAGTTATGTGTACTTCTGAAGTGTTATATATACACAACACTTGATATGTTCATAGTTACTATATCATATGTATTAGATTAAAAGTCATGTTGAGTTTAAAAGAAGTACTATTAAAGGTTAAAACAATGTGGATAAGATTTTGTATTGTAAGTGCTTTGTGATAGCAATTTGTTGGGGGAGGTACCCCTCCCAAAAGGGGAGGTATACCTGGGGTGGGTGGCCTAATAAAAAATTATACAAACCCACAAAATATATAAAATAAAAACACATGTTTGTTTGAATTGTTGTAATACATATATGTATAATATTTGAACACAAGTTTCTTTTCAATGCATGAGTATTCATTTGTGTTAGCATGAAACTAACAATTTTTTCACAGCCGCTCACACAAGGTTGAACCCAATCAAGGTTAGCGATATCCTTCAAGAGGAGGCTCAAGCAGTGGCAAACACATCTGCCATGAACAATATTTGGAAACTCCTCCTTCATGAAATCCCCCATGTGAACAAAGTTGGAGCCATTATCAATGATCATTTGAACCACATTCTCAACTCCAACCTCCATGAGAACAAGCCTCAACTTCAACCACAACCAGAGACCGGTTTTCTTCTCCTCCAACGCATCAAACAATTTCAGAAACACTGATCCATGAATGCTCACTGCCATCACATTCACAATGTTTCGTTTCCTTGAGCATTGCCAACTATTAGTGACAATCGTGCAGTCAAATTGCTTCCAGCCTTCACGCACAACATCTAGCCTCAAGTTCAAGCTTTCATACTCCTCATTCAAATGTTTCACCCAGATCGCTTCATACTTTGGAGACACTGAGAAATAGCCCGGACCAGCTTTCCCCACAGCACTGAGCATCTCTTTCCAATACGGGCTGTTCACAACATTGAAGGCTTGTGCAGTTTAGTAGATGAACCTGCGAACAACAACATCTGCATCAATGTAGCTCCGGTTTTGCCATGTTGTATGCAGGCTTTGTTGTCTGCCAGCAGCCATGCCCAGGCCTAGTTGCATCCCCCCACTAGAATTCATAGGACCTGACATGTTGCTGCGTTGTTGCCTGCTAGAAAGTCCTCCAGAGAGTGCTTGCCCTGTCTGGGCATCTGCTGCATTATTATCATTCGAAGCAGCAGAATCCATTGTTGCAGCTAGGGATTGTTGACTTGGAGCATTACTACCTAGAGGAAATGAAGATGTTACATGAGTCACAATCGGTGGGCAGGTAGCAGAAGCTGATCTCCGGAAAGGAGTCTTGAAAATCTCCCCCTTGATGTTCACATATTGGGCATTTGCAGTGCAGATAGCAAGGCCATCTTTTTGTGGTGGTTCACAGTGATGATAATCACTAAAGAACTTTGTTCACATCTCATTGAGCACATTCAAGGGCACCTGATTGCAACAAACCTCAATCTCTTCCCCCGGGACCCTCCCTACATGCGCAATCAATCTCTTCAGCAAACCAGATTTCAACTCATTGCAAAACTTGCAAGTCCAAGGGCCTTGCCCGTGGCCTTGCTCGTAAGCTGCACCGCAGATAGTGAATCGATCCCACAAGGAGTTTCGTCTTTTCCCTGGACAATCAGAAGAGGTGGCTCGGCGAGCCATTGCACCAGCAATTGCCTCCCACCCGCAAAAAGAAATGTAAAAGATTGTAACAGATTCTGGTTTAACTTGGAATATTTGTTTAACTTGGCAACCCTCTGCAAACAGAACGCGAACGCATTGGCGAACACCCGTTTGCGAACAAGGGTTTTATAAATCAAACACGTTTTCCGGTAAGTATGTTCAAAGATCCAGAGAGGAGTCAGCCTCAAGGAAAAAGTCATGAATCTTTTATTACGAACTCTCGGAGGTGACAAGAAAAAGGGGGAGCTCCCAACAAAAAGAGTTACCTCCGGAAAAAAAAAAAGCGTAAGCGAACTTACCCAGGAAGTAAGAGTAGTTTACAAGCTTAGTAGTTTACAAGCTTTTACCCGTACACTCCTCGGTGGTGGTTGTAGCATGCAAATCTTGTTGGAAAGAAGTTAACGCATCCAGAAGCATGTTGAAGCTTTAAAAAAACATAGTTAGACTTTTAAAAGGAAAAATAGAAGCTTACCGATCACGTTGCAAACCAAGCATTAAGTGGGAAAAGATATTGAAGAGATGCAGCCATACAAGATTTCTCAGCACTCCCTGGTTCAACTTATCCTTCTTGATCTTCTCATTGTGGATTGCAATGCCCAAGAATTTCTGGAAATGCAGCTCTCAGACACCAAAAGAAATGCAATAAAATACCTTGAACAAACTCCCAATCCGTTCCTTCTGAAGCAGTCGCTCCTCGTAGGTGTGGACAGGCAAAGGAGGTGTCCTAGCTGCTACTTGCTCTCTGAACTATAGAGTTGGTGGCGGCGGTGATGGAGGAGGCGGCGACAGCGGCGGTGGAGGTGGGGGCGGCGACAGCGGCAGTGGAGGCGGCCCCTATGGCACTATAACACATAGGGATTGAAAGAAAGAAAGAAAGAGAGGGAAATGAAAGAACCTTTGTAGATCCTGCAATGGGGCCGCCAGAGATGCAAAGAAAGAAAGATTCAAGAAATGTTTGAAATGATCGGAATGGAACGCTTACGCTTGTACAAGTGGTTTATCAGAGATTGTGGATTCTCCTTAGCATTTGAGCACAAGGAAGAATTGCGAAATTGTGCTAACTCTCTTCTGCCTCATCATCATTGTCAGTATCCATCCACATTCCACATTCCCATGAGGATCAATAGGACAAACGAGAGAACAACCACGAACACAACACCATGAATCACTCACATTGTGCTTCTCTCTCTTGCCTCTCTCAATCAAACATATATATTAACTAGCTGGGATCCCAGTTAGTATACCAAAAGAATAATAGATTGGTTACATTTTTTATTACATTCATGAATAATCACAAAATTTGAGCTATAGTTATATGGTGAGTGTGAATCATTAGATTACATGCAAAAAGTAGCTATATATCAAAAAAAAATCCTCCAAAAATTCTTTCACACATGTCTTATTTATATTTTTCCCATAATATTTTGGGTTCTATAAGCTCACAAAACAAACACATTATACTAAATAAGTAACAGATTTTTACTGGCATTTGAATTATTATAGCTTCTACAAGACATCTATCCCATTCTATATCATCTTGTAATAATCCCATTTCACATACAACAAATTTATATATATCATATACATTTCCATTCAAGCATTTTAGTTCATCAAAACTCTATGCACCTCTATTATATAGTAATAAGACACGTAAGTAAAACCATTCACTATTTCGTGAGGGTACTGTATACATTCTACCAATTATTTTTGTAAATAATTGTCTTTTCATCCACTTCTTTATGGAAGTGTTCCAAACATAGTTCTCTGGAATTTCTTTCTAAGTATATTTTCTAGCATCTGTATCCTATTTATTTAACTCAAATTATTCAGTTAGTTTGGTCCGTTTTCCTTTCTCTAGGGCTATTTTTTCTTCACTTTCATTAAAGTAAATACTTTGCAAATTTGGAAGATGTACATCTAATCTTTCAATACTACATTCAATTTCAGGTCTTAAATAATATTAAATCTACACAAATTGAACAAATTTTTTTCTATATAGGGAAAGAAACTGAGCATACAGACAAGGATAAAATAGAAGATTATAAAGAAGATAAACTAACAAAAAAGAGCACATTACTAAAAACAATCTTTTGTATTGTGTAGATAAAGAAGAAACAACTGATAATCTAGAAGAACATAAAAAAGGTGAGGCTGTGTAATAAAGACGTTGTGAAACTTTAATAATATTGAATTATCTAGACAATTCTGAAGAGAAAGAGGAATTTCACATCAAAGGTTACTCTCACAACAAAAAAGTTAATTGAATATATTGATATCACAAAACAATAGCCTGTAATGTAACAGGCATACGAGAAATACCTTTGATACAAAATGCCTCAAGAACTATTTTTGGTATGTAGTTTTAAATTACAAAATTGTACAATTAAAATATTTCTTCTCAAGAAAAACAAAAAATGAATTGATATCTCAAAAAGTTGATAAGGAATTATATCATGATTGATGAATCAAAATCAACAATAGAGTTTTGATCCGAGCAGGTAAAAATAAGAGAGCTCTAAGTCTTACTCAAAGTGCCATAAAAATTCCGTCAGGTGAGTTTAGAAAGGCACATATTTCTTTTGTTCTCTAAAATACAGATGTCACAGTTAGAAAAGCAAGAAACATGGAAATTGAAGAAGCAATAGCTATACGAAATATCAACGAGAGCACAAATATACTTATGTTTGCGGGCTACACTTTGAATGGATATGGGCTTAGCAATAGCCATAAACCAAATAGAGGCCAGTGTTTAAGAGTTGACATGACGGATTTCATGGGAGAAGAGACAATATAGATGTTTTATGACATTGTAGAAAATAGAGCACAACAATTTGCAAAAGGCAAATGGCTGAAATTATTTGGATTTGAAATTTTCCCCACTGATCCTAGATATGGTAGAGGCACATGGAATTTTACATTGAAGATTACCAACCAAACTGTGATCCAGGAATTCAATCATATAGTGCCACAACTTCGTCTGTCTGTACCAACTGTCAGCATTGCAAACTTTATGGAGACATGTAGAGGCCGAGAATTTGTAGGTTTTGTTAATAATGTTGTAGTGAGCATCAATGATATAGACTACAACAGTGGTCAACTCACAATAGCAGACAACATCAACAAGTCTGATATGATTATAGTAAGTTCAATATAGCATGTGAATTCCTGACAATCAAAGAGTTGATGAATGAATTTTTTTCTGGAACTCCACCAACAAAATGTTTCATTAATTTACAAGGAAACGGTTATTTCAAGAGAGCAAATGTCTCCAAAAACTCTAGGAAAGTCTCTTCTAACTTGCTCTTCCAGCGTTGCTCTTCAAAGCTCCTGAGCACCTGTGGCAAAATTAGAAAACCAAAACGAAGAGGCTATAAGTGGCTTATCTCATCAGTAAGAGAGCTCGTAAGTTCTTCACGCCCTCAACTGGAAGAATCTCCTCCTTTCTTCGAAATGGCATTTGGAGCAGAGATCATTCTTTATGCCATACTTGGGGACTTTGTCATCACCAAAGTTGCTTTGCAATAGGCTCTCGGAATTTAGAAGCATGAGTTGACAACCCCTGTTGAGTCAGGAGTGGACTTGTACATGTCCATGGCTGCAACACTTGCAAGCTGATGCCGGTTGGCACTTATGGCGAGAGCTAAAACAGCAGTAGTGATCTTGTCCAGGAGGGTGCCGAGAGCTGGTCAAGAGTGATTGGCAACTGTTGTCGCAGCCTGGAAATCTAGTGAGCCCAATTGTGCACAAGAACTACCAACTCAAGGCTTTTATATAGATCTGCTCTTGACAACTCATTCTTCAACTCATTTGTATGACAGGTCCTGCATGGAAACAATGGTAAACCAATCAAAGCCAAGTAAGGAAGAAACTTTTACCTGCAAGTTAATACCTGCCACATCTATGTATTTGATACCGCATGAAATGCCTTCACACCATGTCTGAAAAACTGTCGGCATTAGTGTTCATACTAATGCTACCACCCTGGCCCATCAGCGCATTATATAGAGATGTCTTTCTAGCACCCTGACGTGCCACTTGATAAATAACATAAGTGAAAAGAATAAAAAACTACTTGATTTACCTCCAATCCCAGAAGTCGTGCCTGTCTTAGACACACTCTTTGAAGACGGCACAAAGTCAGTGCTACTCTAGATCTAGCTACTCTTGTGGAGATGATACAACAGGTTGTAGGGGTAAGGCATTGTCCTCCTTGGATAGATGACGCAATGTCT